AAATAAAGTAATATTGAAATAATATCGATTTTCAATTAATATCAAAATTGATTATTTATAATTATAAAAAATCTAAAATAGCATTTATTTATAATAAATTTAGTATTATTAATATAAAACTATAAATATAAATTCTTTTTTTCCCTTTTTTATTTTTTATTTTAATAGAGAATTTATGGTTTTTATATGATATAATTATAATATTATTTGCTGATATAAAGAGAATGTTTTTTTAATAAAAATTCAATTTTATTTAATATATTTATTTTATTATATAATATTAGTTTGTATTTCTAAATTGATGAGATATTGGAGTATTATTAACTTATTATTATTATTAAAGATTATTATAATTATAAAGATGATTTGTTTTTTTTTATATAAATTTAATATTAATAAGATATTTATTATAATTATTAGATTTAGGTATTTTCTATATGGATAGTTTCAAAAGGATTATTTTGACATTCGTTTTCTTTATACCTTCCCCTACAATATCTACATACAAAGTTATTTCAATAGTTTAAAGTAATATACCCTTTTTGTTGGTATTTATAATATATAGTGATTTGTATATGTTTCATATACAATATATTGATAGAATATCTTAATATCTTAAAGAATTCCTTTTGAAAAAATTGATTAGATTCTTGAACCTTTGTTTTAGTAGTTAAAATTAAATTATTTTCTAAATAAAAATATTTAAATAAATTTCGATATTAAAAAGATAATTGATTATATTTATAAAAATAATATAATTTTTCTATATCTTTTTCTCAAAACAATTTTTCCATACTTTTCAATTTATAGACTTATTTTATAAACTTACTATATAATTCAAATTATTATAAAAATTCTGATATTTTTTAATTATATTAAATAATAGATCTATTAAAAGCCTCTCAATCTAAATACTCTTTGCCTTCTATTCAATATCTTTTTTAAGGTTTTTTAAATAAATTATAAATATATTTATAATATTTTCTTTTCTTTATCTCATCTATATTAACTTTTAAATTATTTATTACTATCTAATCCCTTTATTCATAATAATATTATATACATATTTCTTAAAATTTTCCTAATTTATTTCTTTATAACTTGATTCACCCATAAATCAATACTAAATCATTAGAAATTATTTTTTGAAATATTAAATAATATATTCTATTTTCTTTATATTAATAAAAAAATAGTATTTATTATTATTTCGAAATATAATTTCTATTTAAAAAAAGAAATTCTTAGCTTTCCCAATATTCTTTCCTTTATATTGTTTTAATCTCTATAATTTTAATAATTTTTTTTAATTAAGATTAGTATTTTAATAAATTATATTTAATATAACTATAAATCAATTATACTTAATCAGAATAATTATATATAATATATAGTCTATAACCACTCTATAAGCTTTTCTCATAACTATCATTTCTTCTTTTATTTCTTAAAATTATTAATCCAATAATGTATTCTTATTATTATCAAAAAAACATAATTGAGTTAAATAAATATTACTATCAATACTCTATAAAAATTAATTAATAATTTCACCAGATTAGTTTTGAATTATATTATAAATATCCTATTCTCCTTTAAAAATAAATATTTTTTTTATTAAAATCATAATAATACTAATATCTATTTAACTAGAAAATAATTAATAAATTATTTTATATAAAAGAATAAAAAGAATTATTAGAGTAAATAATAATAATAAATCAATTAAATATAATATAATATAAAGACTTTTTATTAATTCTTTTAAATTATAAAAATTCTATAATTTATAATTATATACAGGTTGATATTAGCCCGAAGTAGTTTTACAGGAGCTACTTACGTGCCCTCGTCAGCCCTTATACGGATTGACCGTGACAGTATTTCTCAAATTAGAATTAAATATAGGCTTAGAAGGAGAGGAAAGTCGATATCGAAACTTAGATATAAATATATCAATAAATAATAGAATCTGAATAAACTCTAAAGGTAGTGTTTTTAGACTATTAATAATACTAATAGAAACTCTATTATTCTTTAATATATTTTTCTAAGGTTTTGTATTTTTTGGAAAAGGATTTTTAGGTTTTGTAAGACCAGAAAGTTCTTTAATAGGTTTAAGAAGGATTGTTTGCTTTTTTTTTAAAGCATTTTTGCTAAACTTTGATTTGCGAATAGTTTTTTTGGGAGAAGGAAGAGGTATAACCTTTTTGGGAACGGGGTGTTTTGGTTTCCTAATAATAGCTATAACTTTTAATTAGAAATTATTTTAATTAGATTATTGATTGTGGAGATATTAATAAAAGTATAATAATATTATAAATATAATCCTCATTTGAAGCAGAAATCATGCGAGTACTAAAAAATTAGGTTTTGAACACACGTTATGAAATCGGGTGTAGGAGTAACGATAAGATTTAAATCCTTTCGCTTATTCTAGAAGTAGGCGACAGCAAGCCGAGAGATTGAATTGATACATATATTTCAGTGTGTTAATCAATTGTCTGATAAGTTCAGAAGTTTATTTTTATATGAAATTAATTCATTTGCGAATGTCTTCATTTTCTCCCTATTTCCCTACGTCCCAGTTTATACGAAATCGAGTTTATTGATCAATCTTGGAATTGGTTAATACACCGTAATATATCTAACACCGTGAAGTTGCTTCTCTGTTTGCCTCTATTCCCAACTCTTTCTATTTCGTAAGCATGGCAAGTATGATCGGCGATGCTGCTGTTTGTAATTCAAATCTGAATCTATATTCATCTTGCGTACTGAAATCATCAAGGTGAGGTATGAGAGTCTAAGAATTATGCCAATAATATACATAATGAACATTAAACCCAACAATTTCATACAAATACAATAAACCAACCAGAGTCAAAAATTCGACGTCATCTTTTTTCACAATAATTGCAAACCAAATTAATCATCCATCAGCACATTACTACTTCCACCAACCTGCCACCCAATCTCCTCATCTCCTAATCCAATCCCAGCTCCACACACCCACCCACAAACTCGGAATCTCTACCATCCTATAAAAAATCTCACCACACACCAAAGTCCCCAAAACTGAAACAACAAAACAAATACAAGTCGCCGCTATGCCCGATACATCCTTATCCATGACAAGATGAAGATATAAAGGAATAGCTGCCGAATATATGACAATCGATTGCGTCAAGAAGTAACCTAAGCAACACATATCAGTCTACAACTTTTGAATGCAAATACAATACAACAATAACTTACTCAAACTTCTTCTCCCCAGGGAAACCAGCACAGTATTCTTGAATAAATTTTGCACCGAAGTTCTCGTCTCCAACAACAGAAATCCACCGCATAAAACCAACCAGTCCGCAATTCTAGGCGTTTGTTCCTTCAAATCCGGGGTGGTGTTGAGTCCACCCGAAGAACCGTAAATATCCGTGTGAGCTTTCAACTCCGCATTTGCTGTTTCTACTGCTGTGTCCGAAGTGGTGTAGAAATATTGAAGTCCAATGCCGATCAAAAGGAGAAATGTGTAAAGTATCCAAGACGGAATTCTTTTCTTAGTGATCCGTTTTGGTAATGGAAATCCAGCTGCGGAAATTGTGAGGAGAGGAGAATTGGGCAGAAGGAGAAAGTCGGTTAGAAGGAGGCCGCTGATAGATATGAAGGAATAGGAGGATACCCAATAGGCGGTGAAAAGAAAGAGGGGTGAGTATTTGAGGCGCCAGAGGGGTCGAGTGTAGGGGATTATTAGAGTGGCGATATAGAGGGTGTAGGATTGGGAGTAGAGGATGGGGAGAATTGTTAGGGTCCCGGATGGAAAGGCGAGGACGGCGGATAAATTGTGTAAGGGTGTGTGGGAAGTAGAGAGGAAGAGGGTGAAGAGGGAGTTGAAGAGGGTAAGGGGGATAGGCGAGCGAAGAGTGTAGGGAGCTTGAATACTGGGATTTTTAGTTTCGATAATGAAGAGGGAGGCGAGATGATTAGTTGAGGTGGTCTGCGAAAGAAGTGTAACGAGGGAAAGTGAGAAGATTGTTGGAATTATGAGGCGGAACGATCTTCGGAATATTGAAGATGTAATTATTTGTTTACTTGGCGAACCGATAAAAGAGGTGCATAGAACTCTTGCGGACAAGAAAACGAAAGATGAATAAATAAGCGATTCATTCCAGAAAATCGGTGAGAGGATCTTGCGAATGAGGTCCTGATAAGTCGGAGTGTCTGTAGGAAAAGTAATGATATTACTTTTGACTATAGCTGGAACAAACGTTTGTAGGAATATCCAGAGGAAAGTTTGCAAAATGAGAAAACCGCGTAGGCCTAGAAGATAGGTAGATTGTGCAGTATCATGAGATGGTGGTTGTGCGAATGACTTCATGGTGGTCGCGGTAATCGCCAACTCCTTGAATCTTGTTGGCTACAAATGACGATTCAAAGAATTGAAGAGGCATACAATTCAATGCTAGTTAAAAAGAGAGTTTGTCAAAGACATTTCAGATAGGTATTCTACTTGGGTCAAGGCAGGATGCTTACTCATAGCCAATATTCTAGATCTACTCTGCTGTGCAGACTATTGAAACTACTGCTTGGATTATCCTCTACCTTCGAGTTCAGCTGTCATGTCTCATGTAAATAAAGATATTTTTGAGACTTGACAAGCGATTTGTCTCGGGTAACAAATAGGGGTTAATAATTGCAGTAGTAATGGGTTCTAAAGATCGTGTCAGAACTCAGTAGGTTGATGGAATCCAGATTTCCACCACATCAAGACTATGAAAATTAAGACAGTAGCTAATATCAAATTTGCTATCATTGGGGAAACATTATGTTTTGAATGGTAGCATCGGGTTCAATGAATGTTAACAAGGGCTGTTTGATGAGTAGCACTGATGATGTTGAAAAGAAATTGATTTTTCATAACAGAAGTATTATATAGTTTGTGTAAAAATGGTGCCTTATAGAATATATCCCCACTACCAAGCAACTCCCAGCTCTCTATTCACACCTCAAGCCTTACTGATTTGATCACCCGCTTCGCCATCGGCAGAGCCAAGCCTGTCCACCTTGTTGGCAGAACGAACATTGCAATCTCCACCAACTTCCTCGCCGCACTCGATAACCCGGATCTCCACTTGAGTCATTTTCTTCTGCCCTGCATCTATTCTTTCAACCTTTTTATCTTCAGTCGATGCCTCACCACCAACTACAGGAATACCGTCAATCATCCCATTCCGATTCAACCAATCTCTTCCAAACGGTGTTAACGTTGGCCGCCCCTTCAATGGCTCTTCTCGAGAGTCCCTCTTGATATCGCCCGCTAGTCCTTTTCCAAATAATCCTGCTATTAACGATAACATAGGCAATGATAAAAACAAGACTGTGTAACATACGACGGCAGTTACAATTAACACTGCCCAGTACGGTAGGATGTTGTTAAGAGTAAGACAGACCCAAGCACCAAGAGACCAGAAGATCATACCATGGAACAGATACATGCTGAAAACATGTGGGAATAATAGCATGAGGTGTTTTGCAGAAAGAAATGACTGGACTAAGGGAGATATCGATGCAAGGCATTGAATGGCGGTACAGAATATGAGACCGTTGAAATGAGGTACCCAGTAGCCCGGATAACCAGGATATCCGGAGTTGTGAGTGATAGTAGCTGGAAGACCCGTGCTTGGGTCAGGATGAATGAGTGTTTCTTTAGCTATGATGCTGTAATTGAGCCATTGGTTGAAGGTATCTGCACTAAGAGCTAGAAGAGCGAGAATCGTGAGGATAAAAATCATAGGGTAATAGATTAGAGGATGTTTGTGCAGGTATCTTGGCATGTGGTATGTAATTTCGAGATCGGTAAGTAGAATGCCGACCCAGAAGAACGAAGACCAGGAGAGTGAGTACCAATTGATCAATAGCGAGAACACATAGAAGGGGAAACGTTTCTTCGGGTTCGGAACAGAGGTTATAAGAAGAATGGCAAGAAGCGTAGTCCATGATCCTTGGATGATTACGGGAATAGTCCAGAGAACGCCAGTGCAGTAGTTGAAAGTTATGAGAGGGACTGCGTTTGGGATTGTATAAGCGAGTGCGATGACTTCATTGAGAAGATATCCGATATGAGGAAATGGAATCACATAAGGCCAGGTACTCCAGGTAATCGATGGCAAGAAAGGAAGATAGTAGGTTGCTCCTGAGAGAATGAGAAAGTATTCTAGAAGGACGAATGTAAGAACTGGTAACATGATTTGGAAGACCCGAGTGACTATCTTCGAAGCTATAGAAGATAGGTCTCCATCGTGCAGAAAAGGAGTAACGAGGAATCGTGCAGAGGTGGTGAAGAAAAGACCAAGGGCTCCTTGATTGAGAAAGAAAGGTACAATAGTTTTGTTGATCCATATTTCGGCAGAATAGTGGGCAAAAGCACCAGGGGCAATGACGGCCGGTACGAAAGTCAGGCAAAAATGAAGAACAGTTACATTTATCGCTGCAACGGTGATGAGTCCTGCTAAGTGGTCGACTCTTTGGCTTGTTTCAATTGGAGATGCACTTTCATGTGTTGAGAATGCCGATGTGGGGAATTTATTTGTGATATCCTTCCCATCTAGGCGAGATTGGCTATCTGTCTGGTGCCGCTGAATTATAGCGTTGGATTCAATATCGAGAGTTATATGATCTAGTGTATCCGCAACGGTAGTGTTGTTAAGCCCCGAGGCTCGTTTAGACTTGTCTTTGATATCAATATCAAATCGACTAGAATTTGGCGAGTTTGGTAATGAGGGGGATAAGCTAGGAGGTAACTCGTTGATACACATTGCGTTGTCACTGTTGTCGCCTGAACCACTGCTGCGGATATTCCACTCGTGATCGACTTTGCTGTATATTTGATCAATAGACCCAATACCACTTAAGCCTCGTTCACCTGAATGACTTGCGGTCGAGAAATTGAATGAAGACACTAAAGTCGATGTCCCTGAATTATAGGATTCGATCCTTGTCCGATAGGATGGGGCCGGTGTCAAGCTTGCATTTCTAGAATAGGCGTAGGGCGGGGAAGGTGGGCTCTTCACACTAGTATTATCCTCCGTAGGATTTGAGAGTTTTTCTTCTGCTTTCTTGAAGACTTTGAGTCTAAGGAAAGCGTTCGCTAAAGCTGTCAAAGTTGCGAACATACAGCCAACGCTGAACCAAATCGCTACCCATCGAAGTGTACCATGAGCAACACGGTGTTCCCAAGGACTTAGAGCGGCTGATGAGAAGGGCGAGGAGCCGCGTAAAGTAGTGTTGTCCATTGAACATGCGACTTTGAGATTACATCGCGCATTAAAATTTGCATGATGCGTAGAATTCATTAATGAAGAATTGAAGAATAGTCGAACCCACCCAATGTTCGCATCGGAGATAGAGATGGGTGGACCTTGCATAGAATATGGATTTCCTGTAGACCAATGCTTGATAAAGAATGGGGAGGGGGTAGATGGCACAGAGCCATTCTCCTTGAAAATTGATCGGACAAGAACATTTCCAATGTACCAATGAACTTCGTTCTTTGTCCAATCCAGTCGAAATTCGTTGTAATCATATAGAGAGATATTCTTCTCGGCAAAAAAACTGAAGTTTGTGCCCAACGATGGATTTGGAAATTCCGAATGAATCAAGCTCGTAACCCAAGCAGTTGAATTTTGGTTGGTATTCATGATATTCATTTCCATAGACTCTGATTCGTTGTAGCGGAACATCATCGAGAGCGAAGTTCCTCCAACTCCCTGACTTGAGGGGCGAAGATATGCCCGTGCGGAACCATATTTTATATCCTGTCTCACAGTCTTGATACCACCACCAGTGACTAAGTGATTCTTATCTGGTGGGTCGACAGACAATTTTAGGGACGAAGTGAAGGATCTACCAGATGGAGAGAACAGTGAGGCTGTATCATTGGCAATTGAAGAGTCGCCACCCTCTCCACTGGTTGTTGTCGGGCTGGCCCCACGAGTAGAGTTTGACGACGTATCTCGTGAAGAACGTGGTTTAGACAGAACTTGAGATGTAGAATCATGGTTGTTGGATACAACTGATGAAATGTTGAGAAGATTGATGTTCACAGGATTAGAACCTTGTCGAAATATGCTGTTGTAATCCTTCTCGTACTTGTTTTCATAGGACTGAAGTATAAACTCGTCCGAAAGAGTATCGGTCTCATTAAAATAAGTAATCAGGGATTCCGTAAAAAGGTTTCCAGTCACTATATCATAATATCCACAAGAGCAATCATCACTCGGAGCGATCGTAGGGGTAGAAGAAGAAGATTGGGCATAGACACAGGTTGCAACTGTGAAGAGTAAAGACAGAATAGAAAGAGTATACATGATCAACGACAAGAACAGCAAGCAATGAGAGGAGAGGAATTGTTCGAGCTCGCATCCATCATTGCTTCATATCGTCACAATGTTACCATAACATAAATCTTAAATTGCACATTCATGGACTGCCATGAATATCAAATTTCAGGTGCCCAGATCCTCCTCCAGGCTGAGGCCAACAACCATAATTCATGGTGTCTTATCAAAATTTACTTTTCGAGACATTTGAGTCTCAGACGAAATGTAAATTCTAGATATCTCAGCCAGTATAAGCATATGTTGTGAATTGCGCATGCTTCATAAGTGGTTGAGGAAAATCTCATCAGAAGATTACAGCCCCGCACGTGCCCAAAGATTCAGGGTGGCTTCAGTGGCTCATTCAGTGGCTTTTTAGCTCCCGACGGGTCTTTCCAGCGATATATTTAGATTCATGAGTTCTTTTTTTCTCGAGCTTCAGTTATCCAACGACAACATATCTTATTTGTTATTGATCTGCAAAACAACGTTGAAATTTACTTGTCAAAAATACTTTCGATATACGTTCACCGAATGGCTTGAAAAATTCGACATAAACGCCTCCCAGGCTGCTCGTTGCTTTATGTAGGCAACAAAAGAACGAGACTTGGTGACAGAATGCATCTCAAAGAGAGGAAAAATTGATCAAGAATTTGGAACATCTACAAGCCTCAATACTGTATTTCAAGACATAGGTTTCCATATAAAATTAACATATCACATTCTTGATCTTCTCATCTCGAACATCTCGTTGCCAGATGTGCTAAGTGATATTGCCAACGGAGCCACCTGCTTTCAATAGTTTGATCAGCTTGGGTATGATACTATTCATGGATAATACCAAGAGTACATCGAAATGGATCTCAATCACGATCTTGAATCTCATACGAACCACGAAGAGGTGGAGAGTGTTGCTGTCTGTTTCTGTCATTCTACTCCTGTACATATCCCTCTTTTGTAGTCATTCCTTTAGAGAGAATCTTATACTTTCATTCTCGTTCTTCCTCGCAGAATGTCGAAACTATCTGTCCCTTCAAAACCTGTTGCTCTGTGCAATCATGTTTCTAGAGCTTCAGCTTTCTTACTGGATTGGACCCCATTCCTCCTAATCATCTCCTATTTTATTTTCTCAACATGTCTTTACATGTTTTGCACACCAAAGTTGATAGAGATCTTCTGGCTCATCTATCTTTCTACGAATTCCTACACAGCAGCAATGAATGTTATGGAAGCCATCTGCAGTCTCAAGCCCAACAGAATCGCAAGAAAAGCACTTTACAACGTGGAGCAAAATGGCTGGAAATTTCCCACTCCCGATGATCAGCTCTTGATATTGGATCTTGTTATCGTTGCATATCTCCCCAACGAGCAAGATATTATCATGGATAGAATTCATTACGCTTTAGACCATATTGCTTACCCCCAAGATAAGATCCGGATCAATGTATTATACAATACACCCAAACCTATCGAGCCGCTCGAATCCCAAATGAATGAGCTCGCTGCAAAAATTCCCCGATTGAGAATAATCAAAGTGCCGGACTCCACTTCCAAAGCACATAATCTTAATTACTTCTTTAACTTATATACTGGAGCACAAATCATTGCATTGTTCGACTGCGATCACTATACTCATCCGTATGGACCACGATGGGCAATCGAGAGATTTCTCGCCGACGATGAAATCGATTGCGTGCAAGGACGATGTGTGATTCAGAATTCCAAAGCAACATTCTTAACTGGTATGATTGCAGTAGAATTCGACAAGATCTATGCTACATCCCATCCCGGGCGCGCTGCCTTATTCGGCTATGGTCTATTCACCGGTAAACACATCCTCTTTCCTTTACCCATCCATCCTGAACATCTCTAACCCCCCTCCCAGGCTCCAACGGCTACTGGCGCGCCCCTCTCCTCCGCGATCTCAAAATGGACGCCAGCATGCTCACCGAAGACATCGACTCCGCTCTCCGCGCCCTCTCCCAAGGCGCTGTCTGCATCCACGAACCCAACGTCATCTCCTACGAACTCGCCCCCACCACCTTCTCCTCCTTTCTCAAGCAGCGTCTGCGCTGGGCCCAAGGCTGGACGCAAGCCAGCGCCCGCCACTGCGTCCTCGCATACCGGAAATCTGCACACCACACCAAACGCAATCTGCTCACGCGTTTTGGTCTGCTCTCCCTGCTGCTAATCCGGGAATTGAGCTACTATCTCGTGTCGCAATATACGTGTTTGATGATTAGTTTCCTAATCACCGGGTTTCCGCGGACAGGAACACAGTTGAAAAATCTAATATTCTTCGAATTTCCGGCTTCGGAATGGTTGTTTATTATTGGGTATGTGATCATTTTCCATCACACACTCCCACACCCCAATCCCTCCACTCCCCCTTCCCACCCCACCACAAAACTAACCCCTCTCCCTCATCAGAACCCTCTGTCTAATCGGCAGCCTCCTAATAACCTATTTCATCCTCTCCGAATTCGTCAGCAAACGGATGATGCTCAAATTTACGCTTCTCTACCCGCTCTATCTGATACTCGGGAGTTGCATTGGACTGTATGGACATTTTCGACAGATAGTGCGGTACTCGGCTTGGAATGCTACGGTGCGGACATGAGTTTTTGGCTTGCGGGAGTTTTGGGGATGGGGAAGGAGGGGGAAGATGCTACACGTGAGATACTATGTATGTGTATGGTATATAGTAGTAGGGGATTTATTTATTTTTGCGAATGGATATACTGTCATTCCCTCTCCCCCTCTCTCTCGAGTGAGAAGATAATTCTAATTTTAAATAAATTTCAATTCAATTTTAATTTCTAGATCCTAGTTCCTACATTCCCAAATTCCCAAATTCCCAAATTCCCAAATTCCCAAATTCCCAAATTCCCAAATTCCCAAATTCCCAAATTCCCAAATTCCCAAATTCCCATACTCCCAAACTCCATCTCATATAACCTTTCCTTCCAACACACGCAAAAAAAAACAAAAAAACACGAAATATCCATATTAACTACTAGGTAACTTACATTCATTCATTCAATCTCAATCATATCCAATTATTTCATATTATCTATCAATTTATCCATATACCCATACCCATTTATCGTTCATAAGCATACCTCATCATAAGCATACCTCATCAAACACCTACAACATTCATCCACAATCAAAAACACCCACAAAGTATTATCTATCTAAATCTTCATTAATCACATCACTATTCCTCTTCCTCCCATCAAAAAGGACTTTATAATTTACACTTACCCATCCATCCGGCTCCCTATCAAGTACATCCATCACAAGCTTCTTTCCCCTCTCTACTCTCTCTCATTGATCCCCCGGCCTTCATTCTGTAGAAACCAAGCGGTACACGTACAAAGTCAAAGACAAGCCAATACAACGCGACCTTTCTAGCATGATCTAGATTACTTACTCTCTTACCTCCTCAATCACACAAGCACACAAGCAAGACATAGATAATTTTTAAGTATATTTTCTCCATTGTCCTTAATCTATCTGTGTTCAAAAAACCACCTTATCCTATCCCATCCCATCGAATGCGCATCCAAAGCTAGCTTCATGGAAGCATACTAGTAACTGACTGCCATGCGCAAACTCTCCCCACCGAGCAAAATAACAAATCAGATCTTTTAATTCCCAATAATCCCCACCATTTAAGAACAACATTCTCTTCCCATGAGGTGCAGCTCCCCTTCAAACAACAAGAAGGCACTTCACTTCCAAACTATATCTCCATCTCCATGCACGCGAAGAACAAGCAAAGCAAGGCAACTCCGGCCGCGCAATGAAAGGAAAAACGATGAGTGAAAAATCCAATCCTATCAAACACCCATATGTAAAATTCTCCCTAACCAGAGGCCCTGTTCCCAGAAGGAAGTACTTTGATGTACTGTAAAAAAAAATGAATGTTCCAAAAACGCCTCGCTGATGTGTCGCATGTGATGGGAAAAAATGTAAGCAGTCGAATTTTTCGATGCTGGTCCTCTGGTATAAATCATAAAGTGTACCTGCCCTAACGCCTGTCCAGAGGATAAAATAAATCGTAAAATCATGTTTAAGGAGAGTAAGAAGATGGTCAACCAGTAAATACATGGAGGACAAATGGGGAATAGAGATGTGAAGAAGACCAGTGTCAGACTTGTAAGTTATCAGGAAAGAGTTTGGTAATTTCTTCACATTTGAATCCCTATTCCCTCGAGTAATAACAGAAGATATGTTATTTCTTGCTAGACTTTTTACCCAGTCGCATGAACCGAGTCTTTAACCACATCATGAGTTTTGTCCAAGCATTGTGTGTTTTCTTTTTGGTATTTGACATTGCAGTATGACTTCTGTTCGGCGAACCCCGACTATGTTCCTCGGAGAGAAAGGGAGGGGCAGCAATTGTTGCCGTATTGTAATTTTGTCCAAAAATTCCTTCACTTTTCTCATGTATAGTAAGATCAGACTTAGACCGCTTTGATCGAGTAGGTAGATTATCGCTGGCAGAAGAACGGCGATGTCCTCTCTCAATCTGTCTCGCTTCTTTTTGTTGCTTCTTTTCCATTGCTCGAATTTCCTCCCTCGCTGCCTTTTCTTCTTTCGCCCTCTCTTTTTCTTGAAACTTGCGACGTGCCTCTTGTATGGTTTCCGAGCGCAGACGATTATCAACCTCACTGCGACTTCGAAGACGAAATCCTTCCATGGATTGTCGGATAGATGGGGAAGTGGGTGACATGGTGTCGAGTGGTGAGGTTACTTCAGGGGACAGCACCGGACTTGTATGTGATGCTGCGTGAACAAGTCTTGATGAAGTCGGAGGTAGCTTGGTTTGAATTCTTAGGGTTTGCTGAAGCATGGGATTTGTTGAACCAGTCATTGAGTTTGCTTGATTTGACAAATTGGCTGTACTACGGAAAGTATGTCGTAACTGATCCTCATCTTCGGTAAGTGCAATGCTACTGTTTGTTGCTTCACTTTCGCGAATT